TAAAGCTTATTTGCTAATAAGAAGGTTAAGTTGTAAATTATAAAAAAATAAATATAAATTATTTAAGTTGAAGAGTTAAATTATCTTTATTGATGATTTATATTTTAAGGAAATAGTTATTGATAAAGATATAGTTTTTATGTTGTAAACATTATACTTTATTAAATTATAAGATAAAAACCTTTTTCTTATTAAGAAAATAATATAGGTTATTTATATAAAATACAGTTATAAGAAAGAGATATTTAATAAATTAAAGGTAATAAATATAGTTATGATAATAAATATAATAAATAAAATAATGATAAATAATAAAATATTTATATTAATATGAAATCAGTGAAATGATGATCACAATTTTCATGGTGATCATTGGTAGCCTTAATTGACATAGTCATTTAGTGACATATATAGATTATCATTAATATTGTCAAGATAATGCTGCAGCATATAGATTTTTTTGTTTATCAAATTTAAAGTAATACTTAAATTATAATAAAGATATACAGTTAGGTATAAAAAAACTTTTAATTTATCTTTTCATAATAAGTAATTATTAACAATTTAATTTAAAATTTAATATATTAAAAATTTATAATTTATTAATATGTTATATTATTTTAATAGGTTAAATTATTGATAGTTTTCTTAATAGAACTAATATTAAAGATAGTTATCACAATTAAAAAAATGGTGCAATTGAGTTGCAACTTGTGACACAATTAAATTTTCTTAAATTGAATAAATCTATATGATGATGACCAGATACTTTTTTTGCATTTATAGTAATTTTATATTAATATATTATCCAAAATATATTTTGATTTTATTGATATTCGTCAAAATTTTCTTGCAGATCAAACTTTATTATTTTATTATCTTTAGAAGAGTCAATAATATTATTAGCAAATGTCTATTTTTACTTCTTTAGCTTCATAATACAGAATCCTACGAAAATTTTTTTTAAAATAGCTCAACAAATAAACCAGATTTTGATTTATTGAAATAATCTAAATGTTTTCTAAAATTATGTAATATTCAAAAAAGTAAACAGTTAGTATTTGAAAAGAAAAAAATTGTAAAGTAAGATAATATTATATTTAATAAAAATATTTATAATTATTAATTATTATTTTTTTAAAATTAACAATTTTTTTAATTATTAAAGAAAATAATTTTGATTATAACTCAGATTGCTTAGATATAAGTTTATTAAAAAAATTATGATTATAGCCATCGATAATAATTTATTAAAAACTATTAGATTATTCTATCATTTGACTTGTAAATTAGCAGAGTATATCTATATGATCTAATCTGTTAAATTACTGATTGAAATCAATAAACCTAATATTATAATTGAATTAGATGATGATGAGATTTGATATTAAATAAATTTAATAATAATAATAAATCAAATATATTGAAAAATGATGATACTAATATTTTTATAGCAATTCAGTATGCTTCAAATCATGTAAAAATAATAATTAAAGTTTTGTAAATTCTTTTAATGAAAATTATAGTCAATTGGATTTAATTAATCAATTTAATAATAATCTATCAGTTATTAATTGTGGTAATAATAGTAAATATTTTTTATTTAGCTTTTATTATATAATTATGATATTAAATGAATATTATATTAATTATTATTAAAATTTAATAGTAAATCTTAATTTGATAGATCAACAGATTTTGCATGATGTATATATTTTTAAATCTCTTAAATGAAAATTCAAAACTTTTAAAATATATCTAAATTATTCAAAAATTTGAAATATTATTCAATGAAATAAGACTGATCATTTTATTGCATATAGTCAAACTTGTCTATAATCACCCTATATATTATTGAAACTATAAAAGATCAATATATTTATATTTCTAAATTCAATAGAAATAACATAATTAGCAAATGGATATCTTTAAAAAATTTTTAGAAAAATTCTAAATAAACTAATTTTATAATTAAAATATAATTAAAATTTATATGTATTACAAATAAAAGAATAAAGTGCAGAATCATTTAATTATTCATAAGAAGATTTGCTAAATAATCTCTTTTTTGTATACTCACTGTTGGTTAGGTATCTGTAAACTTAAATGATTAACTTTTAATTCAATCTGTTGAATTAAATACAAGACAATATCACAATCATGCCTATATGAAGACATGACAAAAGGCAATAGTAAATGAATTTATAAGATTCCTTAATTGAACTCTTGGTTTATTCTAAAACCCTATCTCAAGTTACTTTTCAACTCAAGGAAAAATACAAAATAAAATACTATGAAATATAATATAACAAATATAATATAAAAGATAAAATATATAAATAAGATAAATATAACTACTCTACTAACTATAAATATAATTAGCAAGTATAATGATTATAATTAATCTATCTAATATATTAAATAGATCAATGATGACCACTTTAGAAACTTGGTCTAATTTGTCCACTGTTAATCATTTTGATCACATGACTAATTAAGGCGCAGTCATGAATCACGGCTTCACCGCTATTCTTTCTCTTCTTTCATTAATTATAAAATGTTTCTTCATCATCTTCACTATTTTCACCTTCATCATCATCATCAGCTATTTCAATATCTTCAAGAGGCAGCAAATCTCCATTATCTATACAGAAATTATGTAAAATACAGTATGCATGAATTATTTTAATAATTCTTTCCAAATTTGTGCAATAAATCTTCTTTGATAAAATTCTCCACCACCACTTTAACCGTCCAAATGCTCATTCAATAACCATTCTTATTGAGGAGTGAATCTTATTAAACTTTCGTTCTCAATGAGTTAATGTATCATAATTAGAAAATACCTTCATCAAGGATGTTTTAAGAGGATATGCAGAATCACAAATAATGTATGTACCGCTTAAAACCCATTATTCTGGATTTAAAGAAATCTCACGATAAAGTGAAGAATGATAAAATACACGTGCATCATAAAAAATTTCTTTTATTAAAAAATTATAAATAAAAAAATATTTTAATAAGTATTTGTTCATAATATGATTTAAATTGTGAGTTTCTGTCTTTAAATACTTATAAACTTTTATTTTTAAGATCTCGGCTTGGACTTCTCTAGTATCCACTTCCGCTCACTTCCATTTATATTCTAAAATTACCGCTCTGATGAGCAAAATCTTCAAAGATTATACCTCGGGATGCTGAAGCTTTTCTATCTGCAATGGTACACCTTATATTTGGTATTATCATCATTCTTGATGCAATGCATTATAATAAATTGGTAACAATCTATGTCATTACTGATGATCAATGTCTTGTTGTCATAAGTCCGATTTTATACGTATGTGGATATACTTACCACTTGCAGAACCTTTATTCATGCCTTCCTCAATAAAAGAATTCAATACGTTCCAATCGACTCACGGAACAATATTTTATAATCTGTATCAACATGATCATCTCAATTTTTAAAGACCATTCGAGAGTTTTGGTCCGATCTCTTCAGCAAGTATTGAACTTTGAATGTGAACTTGTTGCCTTTATTTTCATTGTTCCGTTGTACAGAGAATTCCAAAGTATTTCATTATACGACCTTATTGACATGTAATATTTAGTGACTCCCAATCTTTTATGCTTGCCAAATACCATCTGTATTTAAATAAAAAGTCCATCACAATTTAATTGTTCTAATAAATCATCAATGCACATATCATATTAACGCATTCTTTCAAAAGAACATAAAAGTTGAAAAAGGGAAAGTAAATTTTTCATTGCATACATTGTCGAGAAGCTATCCAAGAACGGTGTAAATGTTTCAGAATTGGTAAAGTTAATTCCTTTGTATTTGTTAAACAAATATAAGATTAATGCCTAATTTCAAATCTGGTAAGAGGTTTATTTTTAATATCTGGATTTACTTTATTTTAAAAATCGGATCCGGATTAAATCCGAATATTGAATCCGGTTCCAACCTTTACTAACAAATTATTAATTATCATAAAAAAACTCAGTAGATCAAATAAATTTTTTTAAAGCTTAATAAATTATACATACATACCCTCATTAATTACACATGATAATATTTAAGATCTCGGCGCTGCTGCATCTTTTATAAAATCCTATAAAAAGATAAACTTTCAGATTTCCCAATTAAGAATTTACATTGTAATAGCTGCACAAGAAGTTGTTTTTAACTCATTTCAATTATTTCTATTAAAGAAACCAACTTGTTCCTTTTTTACCATCAACTAGTTCAAGCAAATTTTTGATTAACTCATCTACGGTTTTTTATTTTAATGTATAAAGAAGGAGATAAAATGTTTTAATTGGAATCGAAGAATAAATTAATTCAATTTTAATGTTAATTTTTTTCTTATCTTTTATAAATATTTATAAATATATGATATTATATTAGAAAATGACCTTTGATAGCAAAAATAATAAATTTTTAAAATTCAAAAATTTTATTTTAATATCAAAAGTTTCGATGGGTTTTGCCATCCTTCGAAACCTTTGCCACCCGTCGAAACTTTCGCAATTTTGCCTTTAATAAAAATATTTGGCAAAACGTTTCGACGGGTTTCGATTTCGATGCATGTTGAAACCCCTGGGTTTTGCCCGGCAACCTTATTAAAAACGATCTCATTCCAATGTAGACAGGCGTAACTCCAATATCTTGGAACTACAAAAAATTTATGCGATGTGAATAAAAACTAAAAATATATATATGACACGGTAAAAAATATTTTATAAATGGTGAAGTCGAATAACGTTGCCATTAAAAAATTCTTCAGAAAGACGCACCAGTTCTTAAGGTGAAAAGATAGTTATGGTTTGCTTGTAATAATTAAATATGTTAAAATTCAGATATTACTTTGTAAATCGTACCTTGAAGTTTGAGTACTTTGAAATTTTATAACTTCGGGATCATATTATATTTAACGTTAATCCATCCTAAGTTTTCCGAATCTTTTACGATATTAACATTGTAAAAGCATCAAAATATGTTTCTATTTTCCTCGTTTGATCAATTGAAGTTATTTACTCTTATGGAAGGGATTTATGCCAATAATAAGTATTTGTCTTTGTATAAATAAAAATTCACGAAAACTGTGTCACTATATTTTAAGTAATCTATAGAATTATGGAAATGATATCAAATTTAAATCTCGTTGACTTTTTAACGGTGTGGTTTAGAAATGGTTCAATGCAAGAAGACGTAGATGATATAAGCAAAAATGAAAGACTTTACACGCAATGTGTAACAGTCTGATAAAGTATTTAATCGATAAATCAAATTTGTGATTTTCAGAAGAGATATAAAAGTGTTTCGTTTAGCATAATATTGTTCTTGAATAATGAAGACGTCATTTTAAGTGTAGCTTAATCAAAGTTTATTCAGATATTATATATAAATATAAACACGCCCGTGACATAAATTTCAAAAATCAGTTTCTCACTTTTTTTGCACTCATTAAATGATGATAGATAACGATTATTATGAACCAAAATATTTTAATTTTTTTATTGGACCGTTCTAGAATCGGCTACAACGAGAAGTGCCAAAATAATTTATCAACAGTTTATCAAAACTTCAAGGATATCTATACTATACTCGCTCAGAATACCAAATATACAATTCATATTTTAAATATATTATAAAGAATTTTATGTAATAGGTCGAAATATTATTAAAGATTTTATTGTAAAATTGTAATCTCAAAAAAAATTATTATTTCTTTATTTGAAGCCAATTTCTTCTTAAATAAATATTAGAGTATTTCATGAAATATTCGTATGCACACGTCTTCACTAACTTCAATGAAAAACGAAATATTAATATCTTCCAGCTGTTTGAATCAATTTTATTATAATTTTCAAGATAAACCGCTTCGCGTATTGCAAATAATCAATTATTCGAACAAGGCGTTAGAAAAAAAAAATTATTTTTCATAATTTTTTAAAATATAATAAAACGAATTTCAAATCATCTCCAAACTTTGGTCCGTAACTCTTATAATAATTAATTGCATTCTTAAAGTTAACATTGTTAAATATCGCACTTTTGATAAAATAATCCTTATATTTAAAAGAAAATATAAAACTATATTAGTTTTATCCCAATAATTAGTAGATTTTCATTAAAGGTTTGTATCCACAAATAGTTTCTTCTGTTCCTTACAGTAAATAAGCCTAATATCGCAAATATGCTGAAATCTTTTAGGTCACTCTCAATGATACTCAAATAAGAGGTTGGAACCGGCCAAAATTTCTTTAACCTGTTTATAACCTTCAAAATATTTAATTAATTTGAATACATTGAAACAATACTTATATTATGATAAGCATCTTTATAAAGTATGCTTCATAATTTTGAAATCATCATCAGTCTAAGTTGCGGGTTCTGTATAGGGATGGGGACGGTTCAAAAAGAGCGACTCCGAGTCGGTTCTGGAACCGATTATAAATTCAACATATTTTGGGTTTTACTGAGTTACAAACCATTTTTAAAAATCGAACCGGAACCGACTCCGGACCTGTTCCAAGAGTCGGCTCAAAATCGGATTGTCATCAAATTAAAGGTAATAATAGGACGAATTTGTTTGATAACAAGTCGAAAAATTTTTTTAAATTGATCATCACATGATGCTCTATTAGTATAAATTTAAATTAACGCTCAAAGTTTAATTTACTCAAGATGAGTCGAAGTAGAACCGAAGAGGAACCGAAATGGAACCGATAGAACCGTCCCCATCCCTAGTTCTGTAATAAGGTTGTAGTTAGTGCAATTCCACCTTAATTACACGAAGCCATACTTCAATTTCTTTCATCTGTAAATCGTCCTATTAATGATTGATATAAGACTTTTAAGAAAGTAAATACAAATCAAGTGACTTTAACGATTTTGCACTTATTTAATAGTTAAATCACCTGAAAAAGTATTAAAGTGCTAGTAAGTTATTAGACTGAAAACTTTCTTGGTGTGTACTATTATGCTCCATCTATTATGATTACTTTTGTGAGTAATCGACTGGATCTCGAAAAAACGCTTATCAGCAGCAAACAAAGCTTATGAATGTTTAATTCATTAAATTAAAAAATGAATGTAGTGCCTTCATAAATATCCCGATATTACGAAAAGGAAGAATTGAATTTAAATGTTTGACTTATAATGCGCGCGGTATTTTAATTATACGTATACATTTTTATTTTTCTTTTAATCATAAATCAAAAAAAAAAATAATATCTGATATCAATGTCAAAGTGGTCAGCCGACTTTGGTGTCAAGTTTCAGTACGAAATTCTTCAGAAAAATATTTCAATTTAAAATAATTGTAAAAGATTTCCGGTGAAATTTCTGGCAATTTCAAATGAGCTCATGGCATTCTTCTTATCTTCTTTATTTGAAACCAAATCTCGAAGCAAATATGGAGAACGGCAGCATAAAATATTCAAGAGCACGGAAATATTTTATATAGGGACTTTCAAAGTAATATAATATCATCATCGTCCAATAATTCAATTTTGACTTAAAATTCGGAACAAACTCTGCAGAAATTTTGCAAAAATTTTATTTTGAGATGAGGAATTATTTTTAAGACAGAGATACTTTTTATAGTCTATTTATAGAAATTAGTAATGTAACTATACCAGATATATATAAATTAAATTTTAAGTCGGAATCGTCAGCTATTTCAAAAAAAATCGTTAAATAGGACAAATACGTAAAAAGGCAAACTTTATTCAATGTAAAAGACGTGATCACAATGAAAACTCAAATATTTTTTTAAATAAAAAATACTTGTTTTACAAAAAGCATTGTTTATATCCAGCATGTGCTATATGTGTTTGTATGTTATCAACAAGACTAGTTGTTAGTTATTATTGAAACACATGACAACGAAACCAAAGTTAATGTGCCACATTCTTTAAAAAATTTGAATAAATAATTGACCAATGATATGAAGTAAGAGGAAAAGTAAACACGACTTCAATTCTGTATTTATTTTTACATTATGTTTGGTTTATATCTTGTTTTATGAAAAATATTGGTAATATAATTTAGGCCGCTTCAGGAAAATTTTTGATGCAAAGTATTACATAAATCCCAAAGTATTAATATCAAGATCAATTTCCCTGGTTAAATATTCTAAAAATATACTAATTAGTTATAAAATATAATTAATATGAACATTTACATAATCACATTACCTTCATTACTATTCACAATATTCGCATTAATATCTATTTTCAATTCTTTTGTCACATATTCTAATAATTACAGAATAATCTTTAATTATATATTAATATTCTAGGAGCACATATATTTGTTCTCGTGATTGATTTATATAGAGATTCCGCATAATTCTAATATATAAAGCAAGTAAATATTTACCATTATCAGATAATCTACTTTTTTTATTACTTTTGTTATCATCAATTAATTCATTCATAATCTTTCTTTTATCTTTTATTTTTCCAAAAAAGACGTATGGTAATTAATAAAATTTAAAAAGTTAAAATATGTACCATTGGATGATTTAAATTTTTTTTAATCAAAATAAAAAAGAAAATAAAAATAATCACCGAATTCTGTAACGGATTGACTTCTTGAGTGTATCGCAGACCTGCTTAATGGTCTACTTTTATATATTGCTCCTGAATGATTCATGGTTGCAGGTCCAATATCTGATGATAAAACGATTTTTGTTTCATTTTCACTACATAATTCAACAAAAAGCATATCATATACTTTGTTTTTTAAATCATTGGCTGTTGGCCTTTTATTTGGATTAGGATGCCAACATTTTCTCATTAATTTGATATAACCCTCAGGTGCATTTGTAACAATTGGAGGACGTATATTGTCACATATTCTTAAAATAAGTTCTGTATCATGATCTTGATTCCAAAAAGGCCTTCTACCCATAATTAACTTCCACATAATCATACCAAAGCTATAAATATCTGAGGCCATAGTATAATTCTGTCCATTAAAAATCTCTGGAGCAATATAAGGTATAATAGCATAAATTTTACCATCATTATTGTCATCATCTACTAATTCATTCAATGATTTGCTAATTCCTAAATCACCTATTATAACTTGACAATCTCCATAACAAAGGATATTTCTACTATGAAAATCCCGATGAATAATTCCTTTATCATGAATATATTCAAGACCTTTAATAATTTTATTTAATAAATCTAACTTATTCCACCATTCAAGATTATAAAAATGTTCTGTTAAATAATGTCTTAGATCACCTGCTTTACAATATTTCATAATTATCACATAATCTTTAGAAACAGGATTGTGAGTGATTCCATAATATTTATTGATATATTCAGACATGAGAGATCCATTATTAAGGTCCAGATATCTCCAAAGCTAAATTTTAAATGCAAATATAAGTATAACATATTATAATAAAGAATGTTATTGAATAAATCAATACCTCATTTAATTCTTTAGTAGAAATATTTTTAGAATTAGTTAGTTGTTTTAGGGCAACTATTATATTATCTCCCTGTGTATTGCACCATTCAGCTTTATAGATTTTGCTAAATCCTCCCTCAGCAATAAATTGAACATCTTTAAATTGATCATAAGAAACAAATTCCATTTGACTAAATATATGAGTATTAATTCGTGAATATTTGATAACTTCATCAACAACTTTATTTCCGCTTTTTTTAGGTGGTAGGATATTTAATTTAGTGTTATAATACCTTAAAAATGTTAAAGAGTGAGGTAAATTTGGTAAGATAGTTATTAAAGTATTAGTACAATCAAGTCTCGTTAAGGAGTTAGGTAAAGTTGGTAGGATATTTATTATAGTAGTAGAGCAATTAAGCTCCATTATAGAGTTGGATAAAGTTGGTAGAATAGCTATTTCAGTATTAGAACAATCAAGTTCCATTAAAGAATTGGGTAAATTTGGTAAACTATTTATTTTAGTATGATGGCAATAGAGTTTAATTAAGGAATTAGGTAAATTTGGTAGGAGAGTTATTGGAGTATGATAGCAATTAAGTATTTCTAAGGAGTTGGGTAAATTTGGTAGGTAGGTTATTGGAGTTTTAAAGCAATAGAGTTCTGTTAAAAAGTTGGGTAAAGTTGGTAAACTATTTATTTTAATGTGAAAACAATAGAGTTTAATTAAGGAGTTAGGTAAATTTGGTAGGATAGTTATTTGAGTATTAGAGCAATTAAGTTCTATTATGAAGTTGGGTAAATTTGGTAAAATAGTTATTTGAGTATTAGAG